ACAGTTGCCCTGTTTATCTCATGTCTTATAAAAGCTTATTAATGATTTTTAAAGTGTTCACAAACTAATTAATAACTGAATTACGAACTATTAGTAAACCCTTTATAAGGGTAGTCTTACTGTAAAGTGCTACCATCTAAGTTCTGCTTTAGTAAGGCCTGGTGGCACAAGAGACTTGTCCTCTACCAAACAGAGCTGTGGCGAGTTTTTTTGAGCCACCCTTCAAGGTTTTTTAATACCACCTTCCAAAAAGGCAGTACCCTTGGGATATTTTTGCCATATCTTGCAGGACTTCACATAGTCTAATTTGAATATTTGAAATATTTCTATAGAATAGTGAGGCAGAGTGTAGAGTATGGGGAGAATTTAGAAACTCTTGAATCTTATTTTCTTCTTCCTCATCCCTTATCAGTCCAAATACCGAACCAACGCTGCTCCTCAGCTGTAGATATTTCCATAAATCCCCTTATCAGTCAAGTTAAATTGTTTCTTAAGGTCCTCAAATTACATAAACAAGCGATATCTGTGGAGATAATTTACAACATGTATCCCTTTGCCAACCATGTATGCCATAAAAATACCTTTTTCCCTATACAGATTGAGGGGTTGTTCCATATGGAGGAGTACATTTGTTACCCTTTGTGTTTGCTGTCTTTTTTTTCTACTGGAATAGGCTATAAGTCTCCCCCTGATATATGCCTAAAGGCCGCTACACACAAACCTGAGACCAAAGAACGCGTACCGAAGGCGTCCCGACTTTTACGTCCGCTACATCGCCCGCCTACGAACACACCGCGAAGACTTCAGTCGACGAGTGGCAATAACTGTCCTTACCAGCGGGCAGCGGTAGTGTGTATTCGTCATTCNTCTCAGTCTGACAGCAAAGGACTCTCCCTCCACCTTGTTGTTGAAAAAGCTCCTTATATCCGTTAGCGCAGCTAGCTAGCACCAGATGCTAACAACAATACACGTAACCGGTGCGCGCGCTTTCTCGCTCGCTCGCGCCACACATACACCAACACACACCCTCCCGAGCTTGAATGACACACAGAGACCAATCGAGGGCATTAGTATGATCTGTATGAAAGTGGCAATGTCGGCAGGCCACGTCATGTAGACAGCCAGTCACCCTCTGTGAGGCAGAGTCAGACCCACATTTGCGCTGCGTTGCGTTTACAATATATACGTATATTGCCGGCGGCTGAGTACCGGCATTTTACTGAGTACCGGCAAGGTGCCGGTACTCAGTAAGAAGTGCCGGTACCACATGGGTAAAAATCAGAAGTGCCGGTACTGCGTACCGGTGAGTACCGGCCCAATTCAAGCACTGGTGCTACAGGCATTGCCTTGACTACAATAAGCATGTAAATGTTAATCTACGCTCCGGCGATCCACTAGCACCGGAGTCTGCACCTGCAGACAACTACTGTAGCGTCACCTTGGATACGAGTCCAAACAACTCACAGACACACAGGCCAGGGCGCTGACAGGGCGCCCTTTGAGCATCAGATCTGAAGACGCTGATTGGCTGAAATTATGTTTCGGCGGCGTAGTTTACAGATAGCAACAGTCAGCTTGTTGGCTGCAGCTGCTCTGGCTGAGGGCTCCTTTCTACCGCCCGGACGAGAGAGGGTAATGATACACGCTGCGGCCAGGGAGGAAACATGTGAATTATCAGTAACTTTAGACATCGTAAAACAATTTTAAACGAGATGTTATTGTAGATTATACATTTTACTGATACCAACTATATAATATTTACCTTGTTCTTTAAAAATAAAAAAATAAAAAAAGTACTTTTTGAAATATATTTTTTTATTTATTTTTAATTTTTAATTACAATCAAACATGTGGGAAGAGGGGGGGCGGCGCCCCTAGCGCCCCTATGGGCCGGCCGCCACTGCTAATTGTGCAAATTGCCGGACATATGCAAGTTAGCATCTGGCAGTTTATATATGCTGGGGACCCGTACTATACATTTCTATCATAAAACTTTGGGGAGGTCAACATTTTTGGGTTCATTATGCTGGCAACTAGACTATTAAATCAGTTAGTCTGTTGTGCCAGTCTAGTATAAACAAGGAAAACATCCAGGAACTAACCACTGCCCATTTAGAAGATGTCACCATGGATGTTTGGATCTGAAAATGTTGAAATAAAAGTGGAAAGCCTTAACCAATCCAGCTGAAAACTTTACAAAGTCATCAAAGGCTTATACAAACTAAATGACAGAACTTCATAATAGTTTAATGACTTTAGTAGGACGCATTTACTTTATTTATCATGGTCCACTTAGCTGTAACTGAGCAACAGCTGCCCTGAGCAGTCAAGAGAGTCAATATGAGTCAAACCAGCTGCAGAACACTTATACGCTATACTGTACAAACAGTATACAGTATAAAGTATGCAGTTCATTAATACCAGATGGTTTATGATCCAGTGTAAGGGTGGATCATAATCAGGAATGGGTGGCTATCATATGCATGGACGATTTAACTAGATGCCTTTGTCCAAAAGGGGATCAAACTAGCAAACAGAATGTAGCAAAGTTCATTCAGGCCCTCATGTTGACCAAGGGGCCCTTAGCTGCAGTGGCTTTTTCCTTTTTGCTATGGGCATTTGGGCTTTTTCACAATTTTTATAAGATTATCTGGTGCTTTTCACTTTGATGGAGTCTGTTTTTCATCCAGTGCAAACTGGTTTGATCAAGTCTCCAAATCTCTGATGCAGTGTTGTGGCGTTAGAAGATGTGTGTAAGTGAGGGGCGGGTGTTGAGGAGTATCATTGCCCCAGAGGGTTCAAGCTACTGTGTCCGACATGCAGAAGAAGAGGTTTCATTTGCATTCGGCGTAGTAAAATCCCTGCCTGTCCCAAGGGTGCGCTACATGCCAGAGAGATAGGCCAACAGAGAGATGGAAGCTTTAATATTGATGCATGTCTTCAGACAGTGTAAAACAGTGAGAGCACACATTCAGCAGCTAATGTGTGTGTATTGTATTGTGCATCCACCCTGCAGGCCTGCTGGGAAACAGGATGGTTTCTCTTCCCTCTCTCCCCCATCAGACCCGGTTCAGGAAGACTCGCTTCCTCTGCAGCAGATCTGATAACAGCTGTGCTGGATAACATCTTGCAGCCCTCATCTCTAAGAAGTCCTTCCCCAGGGTACAATTGGCAGTGCCGATCTCAGCATTGAAATATAATTTTGATGGTCATTATTGAGATAAGCATTGTGTCCGTCTGGCAGAAGATTACACTGATAGCGTTAGAGCTTAGAACAACTGTCCTTTCGAGGGACTCTCTTGTTCAAAGTTATTAGATGAAAAGAGCTGCTCTTGGCCTCTCGTAAGGCTTGTTAGCAGGAGCGAGGGTCTGTTACAAAATACATTTCAGTGTTTTTGGTGTAATCAGATTTTAAAAAATTGCATTGTGTTTCAGGATAACACAAGTTACAGTATGTTTAAGCATCGTCTATCCTCCTCCTCCACCAGTGACGGCTGATGATAAAAATGTTGGGGGGGGGGCGCAAATAAAAACAACCTACAACACCACTGTAATGTTGAAGGAAATTGATTGTGATTCATGGACACTAGCAATACTTGAATATAAATGTTGCCCTCCTTTCCTTCTGGCCTGCACATTTCTCAATGACTTTCTGATTAATGTCTGTCACCAGACTCTTTTCCATTGACAGCATGGCCAATGCATTCAACCTCTCCTGGGTCATGGTGTTTCAAAGAAACCTCTCAGCTTCCGCCGTGGTCATGGGTGTGGTGATGTTGATCTTTAGGAGAGTAACAGTCTCTGAAAAGACTTCTTCAAGATTATTCTCCATGAACAACTGGAATAGGTCCATAGCACTACGACAGACTTTGAACTCTTCCTTGCTGTAGATGAGACTAAGCTCTGTCTTCAGCTTGCTTCCATTAAGCATTGGATAGGCCTTCAAGGTGTTTCTCAGTGCATCTTCAGGAGATGCCATCTTGTACTCTTCAAAGCTGTCCCCCTGCAGCAAGGTGGCACTGACAACGTGGTTTGTGAAGGAGAAGCATTCCCTGGTGTGTCCCAGTATGGTATCAAAGACCTACAGAGAGAAGAAGAAAAGTAATATGTAAAGATGACTAAATGACCGCGGTGAAGTTAGTTTTAGGTTGGATATTCGACAGACCCGCCAGCAGTTTCCCCCGCTGCTGGCTGTATTACGGCGGCGAGATCTTCTCAGCGAAACGAGGCTTTCACTTAGGGACAATCAACAAATGACTTTTCAATTACACAAGAACGATGTTCTTTTTAATAAATCGACAGCTTCCCGATCGTGTGAATGTAAAGCAAATTCACTCTAGAGCACACATTTGTTGAACACACCTCTTTTAATTGCATTTTAATACTTTAAATATGTTTTATTAATATGTTGATGGACAAATGAACATATTGCTTCAATAACTTCCAGCTCATATGACCTAATCACTCAAGATCAGCTATGGATCAAATAACTACACTTGCTGCATTAGACACACCTCTTTTTATTGCATTTTCTCCCTCTAAATATTTTTATATCAATATTTTGATGGAACAATTAGCATATTTCTTCAATAACTTCTAGGTCATGTGACCACTCAAAATCAGTGCTGGACCAAATAAGTACAATGGCTGCATAGGACACACCTCTTTTTATTGCATTGTAATACTCTAAATAATTTATATTAATATTTGTACACTCAAAAAAATAACTCATTGGATGAACTTAATTCAATTGTGGGCAGGATTTCCATCCAATAAATATTTGTAGCCCCAACTGAAACTAAAAACATCCATTTAATAAAATTGAATTAAGTTAGTCCAACTCATTTTTATCAAATAAAGCTGAAATAAAATTATTACGTTAAGTAAATTAAATGAATTTACATTTGTCCAACTCAAACTAATATAATTAATTGGTAAATAAATAATGTAAAAATATAATTATTCACTTTCTCCCCCATTAAGACACTCATGAGACAAAACCTAGTTGAGATATTTTTATTGAAAATTCTCAGATAACAATTACACCTTGAGGTGGATAGCCAATCCTCACTTTACTTGTGTAAACAGTGTCAAAGTTCTCTGTCAGAGTTATTTGTCTGTCTGCATTTCTTTTTTTATAAAACATATCAATAAACAGACTGAGCAGGAGATAAAAGCAACTCAAAAAAATAATAATAATGCCAATCATGGATGAGGAAGGTGACAGTAATCCTCAATTCAACATCAATATTTATGTACACATCTCAATATTAGCTCTACTTGAAAACACAGAGCAAGATGTAAAAATATTTTTTTTAAAGAACATTTTTAAAGTGGTGTAAATAGCTCTCCCGTAACAGTGCCGAAACTGGTGAAAAATGAACACCCAGCTATTCTAGATCTCCCAGTGCCACAAACAACAAAGACACTATAAAAAGGTGGATGCTTTGCACTGCTCTCCAAACAGGGAATATCATTGGGTGGTTTTGATATATAAAAGAGCGCACTGCACAAACCCTACAGTATATTTGGTAATTGAATAAGTGTAGTGTAGCCATTTGCTTTGAACCTACAATTACAAAAAAAGCTAAATATTTGTTAAGGAAACTTGACAATACACTTGTTCACCTCTTATGCAAACAGCTTGATTTTCAGCTGCTGTATTTTTGCATTCAGCTTGTGCCCATCCAAGTTCATTACGACCTTCTGTAGAAACTCAAAGGTGTACTTCAGGTTGTCCGGGAAGCTGAGATCAAGGGCATAAATGATCCCCAAGAGCATGATGAGTCCCACAATGACGCTGCCTACGTTTTCCATGACTTTAATGCCTTCGATAACAATTCCCACGTCCTCTGGCCCCCCATCCCCGTTTCTTCGGATCGTGTAAATCCCCATGACTGTGTTGGAAATGTCCCTCTCTGCATCGTCAGCGGTGGAGGCCTGAAAACAACACAAACACGTATGTTAAGTAAAAAGCTGAACCCCACAAACAGAAAACTGTGTATGAAATATAAATAAGCATTCTTAAACCATCAACTGCAGTTTAGAGAAGCAGATTTGCTTCTGTCTGGCTCGCCTAATTGACCAATACTGCTTTAAACTGAGATAAGGACCTCCAACCTTATCAACATACAGAGCCTGAAATACAGAAATAAATAGTTGTACAAAAATGTAGAAATAAATTAAATCTAATAAAGATAGTTATCCATGTATGTCCTGTTTGCTTATCAACTTTTACTTATTTATTCATACATTTACCTATTTATTTCTATATTTATTATTTTATTCATGTATTTATTTCAGAATCTATTTATTATTTTATTTATTTACTCCTGTAATAATTTAAACATTTATTTCTGTTTTTATTTATCCATTCACCTACTTATTTCTATATGTATTTCAATATTTATTTATTCGAGAATTTATTTATTTCAGCATGTATTTATTTATTTCTGTATTAATGTATACATTCATTTATTCATTAATATCCATATTTATTTATTTATTTCCTTATTTATTCCTGTATTTATTTTTACATTCATTTATTTATTGTATAATAATAATAATAATAATTTTAATTTTTATAGTGCCTTTCAAGAGACCCAAGGACCTTTACAATGGGAAACAAAACAACAAAATAATAATAGTCACAAGGATACACAGGTTAGATACTTAAGTAATACACACAAGCGAGAAGTTGACATTATAGACATCTAGCCTTGGGTATGAATGGTGGTGTGCCATAGGATGTTCTCATTATATATACATGCCATGGTATGAATAAGTTAGGGTAACACTGTTCAACGCTACATGGGAAAAATATTGTATAAACTTACCAGATACTCCTTGAAGAACGAGTCTGGATCTTCATTTAGGTATATTACAAGGCTTCTCAGGATGCACTCCCTCCTGGTGTTGATGTTGTCACACTAAAGCAGGGTCGACAAATCAGGACAGAATTTAGTTAATGTGGGTGCGACAGAGCGGTTGTCTGAAGACCAGAAAGGTCGTATCAGTCGAAATGTCCCTAAGCAGGACATGGTATCTGACGAAAAATGCATTTGTACTAACCAAATCTGTGATTGCAAGGAGTTCCTTAATCTTTTTCACCTTCACTCCTCCTTTGCTGGTGAAGATTTGTAGGAGCTTGTCGGAAAATACTATATTATTACACTATTTATGCTAGGTGTTTATGCTGTTAAATTGAGCATATAGTTCCACTGTAATTACCTAAGAACATACCGCATCTCTGTAGTAATGGCACCGTTTGAATTGGATCAGGTCAGTTTTTGTTTGTGTTGAACAGTTTCAGAGAAATAGCGTAACTGTAACCATAGTAACTCAATCTCACTCGTGCCTGGGTTCGCACAGCGCCAGAGGAGAGGGGGAGACGCGGTGCTGAGACCCCGCTGAGTGAACAGCGAAGGAATAAATGACAATATAATAGATTGGTGTAGATTTCCCACTTTCCCCCTGATGATCTCAATAACTCGCTAAATGTTTCACTAGTCGCTTTTTAGAAATAAAGTCGCTAAGAGGGTCTGAAAAGCTAGTAAGTCCAGCGAGAAAGCAAGCAGTGTGCGTGTGCTTCAGTGGGTAGAGTGGGTCTGCCGTAACTTTAAAGTAATTTGGAGGGGGGGGGGCTCTGCCGCAGCACGTTAAACCGTGTGCGACCGTTATTAACATTTTCACAGAACAGAAGACACACTTACTGGAGCCCGCTGCACTGTAGGCCAACGCTGTAAATACTTCTGTATAAATTAGCTCCTGTCTCTTTAGCTTTATTACAAGTTGACGGGAGTTCTGCGTTAGCTTTAGCATTAGCCATTGTGTTGAGTGTGGAGACGATATAAGGGGGCTGCGGGAGAATAACCCAAATCTAACAAATTCAAAGTGATGACTCTTTTTCTAAAGGTTTACCTCAAGTACGAGCAAAAAGTATGTAGCATTAAAACTACTCTGAGAAGTCAAATGGAATCAAATAAGTAACTTAGGCCTACGTTTCTGCACAATTGTGGGTGCCTGCTTGTGAGTGAGGTTACCCATAAAAGACTCAGCACATATATTATCTCATTATTTAGATTACATATTTGGCAGTAAAAAAAAGACCAGTGCCTAAATTCAACTGAACTCCTACAGTCCTCCTCTGCCTGCCTGCACTAAGGCCAGGAGAGATGGACAGACCTGAGCATTATGATAGAAAATGGCGGCGCTTACCTCATGCACTTTAATTACTCTTTGCATTTTTTTGCTTGGATATAAACTCAATTTTGGTGTACTGTGTTCAATGAAAATAACATTAAATCTAATATAATACAATCCACTGATCTCCATTATCCAGCAGGTATTCAATGCTACCCACATGTAGCAAGCTAGCTTCTAGCTACCAGTTATCTGGCTAGCCATAGCTAGCTTGCCGTTTACAACTAAAAACGGAGCAAAATATAAAACGGTGGTTTCAAATATTCTTGTCGATATTATGAAAAGGCATTACTTGGAAACAGGGTACGTTCTAAACTACTAGAGACTACTAAAAAACTACTAAAATACTTACCAAAGAATAGACTTTCCTCAGTCAGTTTCCACAGTCAGTGTCAGAGAAAAGGCGGCAAAAGACAGAACGGATGTTGCGCATGCGCAAAGGGGATGTGCAAAGGGGCGGTCCCCAGATGAAAACAATTCATTTTGAGTTGATCTGTCCTAAATACATTTAATAAGTGAATTGATTAAAGTAATTTGTGTTACACTAATGAACTATACTTAGGTTTATTTCTTAATTAAAAATATTTAATAAAGCGAACATTTGTATATTGTGTCAAGTCTATTAAGGGCTTGAATCGTTTTTATGAGTGTAATTGCTAGAATCCACTTCAAAACAATGGTACTTGCGTACCATGCTGCAAATGGATCAGGCCCTTCCTACATCCAGGACATGGTTAAACTGTACACCCCATCACGTGCATTCCGCTCTGCATCAGCCAAACAGCTCGCTGCACCCGCACTGCGAGGGGGACCCAAGTTCCCATCAGCAAAAACACGTGGGTTTGCTATCCTGGCTCCAAAATGGTGGAATGAGCTCCCCATTGAAATCAGGACAGCAGATAGCTTGCACATCTTCCGGCGTAGACTGAAAACTCATCTCTTTCGACTCCATTTCGATCGATAGAATTACTAAAAAAGAATTACTAACAAAGCACTTATATACTAATAAAGGGCTGGCTTATCTAAAGCCAGTTGAGTAGCACTTGAAATGTTTTGGCTCTATGAAACCTGATGTACTTACTGTATATGATTCTGTTTTCTTCAAGTTTGTATCTTGTTAGTCGAACGCACTTATTATAAGTCACTTCGGATAAAAGCGTCTGCTAAATGCAATGTAATGTAATGTCTCAAGTCAATGATGGTTAAAAGCAGCGGGCTGATAGATTATTGTGGCTGATGGTCAAGGATTGGCTATACAGAGGTAAAAAAAAACACTTTTAATGTCCAATAAATTCTCCACAATTAAAGATCCCTGTTAATTTGTTATCTTAAAAGCTTCTTTTATGAAGCTGCAAAATCAGGAAATGTTGCGTTTTCATCAGCAGTAACTTAACACGACTGCAGTGTCACTGAATCGAACACACAGGATCCCATGTGTCTCAGTGCACATGGGTAAAGGTTGGGAAGAAACATTTCTCCTCCCTTCATTTTACGTTTCCTGCTTGCTAACAAACCATACGGGGACTCTTCTCCTTGTTGGGTATTCTGTCTGTCTTTTCATTGTTAATGATAGCTGTCACACACTGCATGGTTTATATCTACATCTACAAATACACAATCCCGCTGTGATAATATTACTAAACCATAATGAACATGAATCAGTTCACATGTAGCCTATTTCGTTCATAGTGACGGCGCCTTAAACTGTATACATTGAAGGAATACAATAATCTGTTTGACAGATTCAAATCATAAAAAATGCAGCAGAATTTCTGATTGCAAGAATGTCAAGATTAACATTTCAGGACTATTTCTTTTCATATTTAATAATTGATTCAGGGTCAGTTGAGGTCATTTTAAATAATACATTTATATTTATTTAAATGCAATACAAGTACATTTGAGGTCCAGTGAAGTAAGAAAGGAACACAAATAGAGTAGTAGTTACATTTATTATTCATTTTGTTTGATTTTAACATCCCTGATGTGGTTGATAGATATATGCAATCATGAAACAATTCCAAATGGTCAACTATACCACAAATTTAACAAAACCCTATAATGCTGGTACATTTTGAATATTTAAAAATAAGTATGGATAACTTATACAACAACTCATGACCTCATTCAGTTTACTCGGACTTCACCGTGAGATTCCTTTAATGATATTCATTAATTTTGACATAATGTCTTCTTTTTTAACGGGATAAGGCAATGTTGAAATTAACTTCCGACAACATATGTCAAGTGGAATAACAAAACACTGGTTCTGCAGCTGGGTTCAAGGCTCAAATTGTGAACTCTGCATGATAATCCACTGTTCTGCAGCGTGTGCGAAACCACCAGCTCAAGTGCCAGAGAAACTGAAATTTACATCAGCATATCCTCTGGCTCTACATGCTAATGTACAACCAGAGGTTTCGTTTTCCCACCACTTCAAACCTATGCTTCAAACACTGCAGGGAATTTACAGTTCATGCTATAACGCTGCCTTTGACCCTTTTTTCAATTTGTTTAGCCAAACCCTTTTTCTATACATATTAAAATAGCACAGAATGTTTACACCTTCAAAATGAATAAGACCAGCCCCTAGTCACCCAGTCTAGTTTCTTTGCAACTGAATGACCTGCCATTAAACCCACATTTGGTTAAATATTAAGAGCCTGCAGGGACTTTTTCATTTCCCGAATCAAGGACACGTAAGCCCCTGTGTATTAAGCATTACATTTTATCTGTGTTAGCACTCAAGTAGCTCTCAGGATAATTCACATTACAAAACCAAAGAAATACAATATTAATCATACTACTGTTGTAGAGTGTAACAAATCATACATACAGTACACTCCTGAACACTAGAATTCAATCTGAGATGTTGTGACTACTATTCATTTGATAATTCAAATCTGCCAAGGAAATAGTAACAGGCGAGTCCAACTATTTAAAAAAACATCTTAATCATCAAATAATTAGCCTTAGAAATGTCAACAATCAAAAGAATGCACTTGTATTCTTCAAATTAAAGTTAAACCTCAATATGTATGTGGAAATGGTTGAATAAAAACATATTTGGACAGTATTTCCTGTATGCATAGTTGATGTAAGATGATAAATGAATGTAAGGAATTAACCAGTTATATACAGTAAGACTGGTTGGAGATAAATTGTGCTGGGAATTAAATTCTGAGCTCACACATTTGTAAGCACACTATTTGACTCATCAACAAATTAAATGAGAGGTCATTATGAAAATATCAGACACAATTCTTCAAAAGTGTGAAGCTAATGTGGTCATAGATTATAATTAGATCATTTAACATAATAAAGTTACGGCTTTGATAATATTTTACAAGCAGGCAGGTACAGTATAAGCCAGTAGTGACTGACAACATTATTTCTGGGTTTATTACTGGCTGAGTCAGCTGTGGCTTTGTAATTGAATTGTGGTTATTGATTTTCCAATCCAAATAATTTTGAATGAAATAATTGGTCAATTGCCAAAACAACATAATACATCTCTTTTTTTTGGGATCTTTGCTATAGGATTCTTGAAACTAGTAACACTTTCCATTTGTGAATGTCTTTCTTAACACCCCACTTTTGAGTGTGCAATAACAATGGCATTGTTGAAAGTGTGAAGAGCAACACTTTTAGTATTTGTTGCATCATTGAAGGTGTTCATGTGTGTGTGTGTGTGTGTGTGTGTGTGTGTGTGTGTGTGTGTGTGTGTGTGTGTGTGTGTGTGTGTGTGTGTGTGTGTGTGTGTGTGTGTGTGTGTGTGTGTGTGTGTGTGTGTGTGTGTGTGTGTGTGTGTGTGTGTGTGTGTGTGTGTGTGTGTGTGCGTCTTAGAGCACCAGGAAAAGCGTTATATACAGTAAATAGTATAATACCATGTGTTTTTATTATTAATAGTATTTGTGTGTGTGTGTGTGTGTGTGTGTGTGTGTGTGTGTGTGTGTGTGTGTGTGTGTGTGTGTGTGTGTGTGTGTGTGTGTGTGTGTGTGTGTGTGTGTGTGTGTGTGTGTGTGTGTGTCTACAACAAGTCTACTGCTTAACTAGCATTCCCCAAAGTGTAAGGTTATATGAATTCAAGACTTCTTGAACTAAAAAAGCGAGTACACTGAAATGATCACCATTCTTCTCTTGCACAATTGTTGGGTCTCTATCTGAGTTCAATGTCTTCCAACTAGAAAACATAATGTTCTCAGAATTTCAGATTACAGCTACAGCTTGCCAACTCATGAAGAGAGAATTGCTCTCTGCTGGCCAACATATATATTTGCCAAAGTATTATCAGTGAGAGTTATTGACCTTGGATAACATTCAGCTATTCGGCCTTTAGGGTCTTAATACTTGGCAACATGTCGATAAATGGGTGTATGCTAACTGACACAATACATGTATCATCCACGTCCCTTAAGTAATGAAAATCCTACAAATCAAAATAAATAGGATACGGCAACATGGATGTTGCAAGAAAATGGTAGAAAAAGAGAGGGCTCCAATTTCTGAGCTATCTGTTAGTGATTTAGCTAAATATGCCCTTGTTGGCTTATTGAACTACATTTTAAATATATACAAAATACATATTGCACTATATCAATTGTGGAATAGTTTGCTAACTTGGTTCATCTTAAAAATTAAGAATAATGAAATGGCCAAATTTATGTTGGAATGAAGTGTTGGACGAAACCCAACTCACATTTTAAAGGTCTGCAAGTTCATTGTGTAAAAAAGGGTTAGGGTTAGGGTCAGAGGGCCTAGGTATAAAAGTCACGGCTCGCCACTGTATTTTACAATAACTCAGTCTGACCTTGAATGTGTTGACCACTGTTCAAAAACAGTTTGTAGCATTCAGGTTTCCCTTTTCTCTAAAACTTTTGGTTGTATTGATTTATGTCAGTGAGTTACTTAGTTATATAGAGTACATTACTGTTTGCTTCTGCGTAGTTTTAACACAAAGCTGTTGTATACATATCTCTTACAATCATTGTTTTTATCATCCATCATCAAGCCACCTTTACATTTGTTCCAAGGGAAGCAGATTAAATACAAAGCTTAATATTCAACATAAAATGTGTTATTTGGTGAACTACCACATTATTGCCAGTCGTGATTGAGGTCGGACTTTGTTATTTTCAAACTGCATATATTACATAAAACGTGTTAGTACCCTTGAAGTCATTTCGAGCATGAAGAATCAATTTTCTCTGAGAGCAGTTACAAAGTGCTCCTTTGATATCTGGCCTAATTACTGTAAATAATTATGATGATTAATAAAGGTGACCTTTCTGTATCTCTGATAATAACACTTTATCCAAAGAAGAAAGAAAATACCTACTCTCCCATTAATTTCAATTCACATTGCTTGAAAACTAATTTCATTGGCTCAAACAATGGCATCTCTAATTTTTAGTGTGGTTAATTAAGACCAATTTTCAATTAATGGTCCAGCAGTCGTGAATGTCCAGAGGGTAATCATTGTACAAAGCTTAGCTGGATA